ATTATGTGCTTCCTCCTCTCTACCAGGTGGTCCACTGAGTTTACATGGAATTAACACATCCACCCTTCCACTCTGTCTATGGGGAAACAGAAATGTGTCACTTCCTCTCATGCTACTCGGGACCAATTTGCTTAGCCCTATCATAAGGATGGACACTTTGTGGAGGAGGACTGTAAGTCCATCTTTAGTATAATAGGATAATAGGTGAAGCACTGAGAGACCATAGATGCTACTCAGCTGGGGCTGAACCTGTGTGCCGAGAGAAGTGATGTGCCATGAGCTGGTTTGGGTTGACAACTCTTTAGACCCAGGGCTTCTAGTCAACAGTGCAGTTAAAAGTAGTGGAACCACATGGGAGATAAAGAAAACAAGAGGAAACCTGTGCATGTAAAGATCTGAGATGACATCTCCAGGGCTGCTTTTTGTGTGATTTAAAATGCAGACACTGGAGAAGATAGCCTGGAACTCACTTCTGTCTCAATTTGAAAACTGACCTTAACTAGTGCTCAAAAGATACCACTTTTTTTCTTGTTTTTATTTTGGAGCTGCTTTTCTGCATTGCGTTTCAGCTTCAAGAGAAGGGCTGGAGAATGCTTCTCATCCAGGAAGACTCAGGAGTTTGTGATTAGGACACTTGTATAGGAGGTGTGGATTTAAATCTTCATCATGTTTACTAATAGACATTAGTGAGCAGTCCTGCTCAGAGATGCTTATGGCCAGGTTGCACATGAACGCTATGAACGGTGCTGTGCTCTGTCCTGGCCTTATGTAGCTCTGAAGGTTTCTCCAGGGATGGAGCTAGATTTTGGGTGGCTGTCAATTGAAACTTGAAATGCAATTACATTTTAGTGAGAAGGTAAGGCTTTCTACCTGAGACTAATACTTTTGAGCATGTTCAGCTAATTAAACTTCAGTTTGCAGAGGGCTTGCAGGTTAAGTAAGAAAATACTAGGCAACTGAGAAACATCCAGAGATAGACAGTTACAGGGAATAGATGGATCAAAGCTTGTGCTAGTGAAATCTCCACACACATAAGACGTTATTTGTGTGTTTTATAGCATGGATGCTAGGATTTTGTTGGCAACAGCTTGCTGCAATCTATTTGCATGTGATTTTAATTCTTTCTTCTACCAGTTCAAATTGTACTCTCTGTTATTATTGCAAGTATTGTAGAGTTTTGGGGGGTTTATTGGCAGTTGAGTTATATATCTGTATATTTGCTGTTTCCATAGCGGTTTCAGGAGATTAGTAATAAATATGTATGTCTTTATTCTGCTTTTTCTTTTTACTTCTTTAAACTCTCTATTTTCAGTTTGTTTTATTCAAGTCTGTCAATCCTGACAGCTGCTGAACCGTGGAACTGCAGGGTTAGACTTTGGTGTTACTTATGATCATTTAAATAATAGTACTGATAAATTAAATTTTTTGTAATGTACTACTTGTGTATCTGTATTAGTATCAGGGAATGGTGTCTGGTCTGCAGAAATGAGTTTGTTTTGATTGAAAGTGATTGGCCAATAGTGGCAGTCTCTGTTTTGGAGCTTCTAAGACTGTCAGTGAATTGGCACAATGTAGGGTTTTTACATCCTGTCTGTTCAGAGTAACTGCTGAGATCTTAAAAACAGACTGGTAGTCCCTGTATACCACAGAAATCATGTCTTTACCTAATATATTACCCTAATCCTTTTTGACTGTTATATCAATTATCTTAATAGAGAGCAATTGGAGCCTTTTCCAAGATGTAATACAAACACATATGTGAGCTTCACTGTTACAATCTTATCAAAGTTGCATTGTGTTAATGTGTTCTTGGGGTTTCCTTAGTGTTCACACAGAACCCATTCAGGCTCTGGCTGCTCCTGCTGCATTGTTTCCTGTTAATGATACTAAACGCCTTGAGAAATCTGCTTGGGAACTCTCCTTCCACGTACAATTGTCTGTTTGGTTCTTGAAAAAAACAACTCACACAATTGACAAAGTATATACAGTACTTGGATCACAGTATTAAAAATGTAGAGGAAACAAGGCTTTCTCTGACGTGGCATGTGCTCTTTCATTCATTAACATTCATTAACATTCATAAGCTATTCAGAGAAGTCAGAGGTGTATGCAGTTTTCAAGGTACTTCTGCGAACTTCCCATTCAGGTCAGGAATAACCATCCAAGCAATTGTTTTGTCAAGCTTTACAAGTAAGTGTGATCAAGATAGGTAGACAGACAAATGGTCTGCCGGTGACACATGACATTAGCGTGTCTGCTGCTTCGTTACATGCCCTATAAATTGTGCAAGTAGCCATGTTTGCACAAAACCAAGGTAGTTTGAGGAAGAAGATCTATACATGTTCAACAGAAACTTGATGGTGACTCTCACATAACAAGAATAGTATTTGAATCGATCTGTGAATATGATAAATTTGTTATTAATGTCAGTAAGTTTTGAGCAGTCACTGCAGGAGTAACAGGTGGAGTAGACTTGTACAGAGGTACAGAGAGAAGATTTTTATTGAAGCTTTTTTTATTCATAAAGGAAACTTGTATGCCATATAAACAGTAATTCTTCTTAAGAGTCGATTTTTTTTTTTAATCATTTCTGTGGACTGTTTGAAAAGTGGGATATGGACACCTCTGTACTGTAACCTTCAGCAAATTTTTCAAAGATACACAAAGATGTGGTTTTGGAAATTCCTGAATTATCTTGTTTTTTCCACGTGTATAACTTTCATTAAGGATATACTCAGTTGTGTTCATAGGTAGGCACATATAAATGGTGTATTACTACTGAAACAAATTCTTTTAAAGGTGAGTCCGTGTAAAGGAGTGACTCCACTGAAGTGAATCCAATAGCGAGGCTCCAACTTACTTGGTTGAAGTCAGGATTTTTGTCTCCAAGGACTTGTAAATGGTGATATATAAATTGGAAACCCTTTTTTAGTTATGCCGACAAAAAGCCACTGATTATGATTTTGAGTAAGGGAAAGAATTTGCCCTTTAATCTGCAGTATATCTTGAGGGAGAAGGTTTTGTACATTGTACTTTTTGTTTCAACTAGAACAAATTCCTTAGGTAAAGACAATATCCACTGCACAGAGAACAACAAAGAGAAATTATGTTATAACTGAAGTTCACACATGAGCATAGAAACGTTTCAAAATTATATCCTTAATAATAATTTTGCTCCAAGCAGAAAGCTACTTTATATCTTTCATTGCTCATTTCAGGAAGTAGAAGGTCTCAGAACCTCTGTAGGCAAACCAGAAGCCATTGGTTTCCAAGAAAGAGGTTGTTAATTCTGTTGTGCTGAATCACTAAGAAAGGTATTTAAGAGAGAAGTTAGAGTCATCATGATTTTTTGCATAATTATACATCATTGTAGTTTTCTTTGCATGATTAAAATTTTGAATAGTAATTAAGTAATGTCTCAGAGCAAGCTTTGTGCATTTCAAAGCTCTGCACACCTTCCTTCACATCCCCAAAAGCCATTATGTTGAGTGTAATCATAACTGGGAGGCAGAACTCTAGTGATTTATTTATCTTCCTGATTTTTGTTGGCTTGTTAGTTATCAGAAAAGTTTTTGGTGACCTTAAAACAAAAAAAAAAAAAAAAGGGGGGGGAGGAATTCCTTCCTTTCTTTGCACTTTTGTGATGTGAGCATTCCAGACACTTCTCACAAGTATAGAAGCAGGGGTGAACATAGCTGCTTCCGTTCTCTGTTTGTCTTCTCTGGGTCAATGTTTGAATACTTAGCTTACCTGCTCTCCTTATTCAGGGCTACATAAATGTCATGGATAAAAACTTTGAAAAAGTTCTCATTTTGAATAATTTGAACATGATAAGGCAGTTGAAAAATTGAAAAGGGCATTTATTTAATTTAAAAAGGAGTCTGACTGGATTTATTTGGGAGCTATCTAACAAAATAAACATCTAGTCCAAGACAAAGATGAGAAATTTCAGGTAATCTTTGAGAAAGTCTTACAGTAAAGAGTAGAAGACAGGCAAAAAGAATGAATAAAGAGCCTAAGACTCTGTAAGACTTGGAGCAGTGGGAAATATTCACTCCTAGGTTCTTGGACTGAATCTGATCTCACCAGCTGTCAGCTCAGTTGTGTCCCATGTGGTGGTATTAGGAGTTTTTTAGTGTAGGGTGAGTGCCTAAGTTATCCATCTCTTACTTTGCCATTCCACTGCTTCAGGTGGCTGCTGCCAGACTGGGAGAGAGAGGTTGCAGTGGTCAGTGAGCTCATGGGAAAGGTCTTCGCTCAGACCCCATCAGGCAAAGGCTTCAGCTGCAAGCTTATGCCTGTACTGCCACGCTGACCTTGCAGCTGGCCAGCCTCATTCGTGCCCTGTCACCTGCCAAAGGGAGAGAGTTCACCAGTCTGAGGATTAGGGTATCTCGTGGCAATGATGCATGAGAGCAGTTGCTCTGATGGATGTTGCAGCAGGTAGGTGCCATGAGGAGCAGGTTTTAGTTCGTTTGATCTGAAGTCCACCAAGGAGCTATTTTTACCACTGTGCCAAATGCATTACTTTCCAGGGAAAAAAAAATTGTCCATCCACAAATTAGCCACAGAACAGTTATTTTGTTCTTTTTTTTAGAATGAGAGAGAAGCATAAGGTTTGCAGTAGTCTGAAAGTAAGGTCGTGTGTTCTAGAAGTATCTTAGCAAGATGCAGCAAATATATTCACAGCCAGTAGATTCTCTTGAACATTGCTGCTGGACCAAAAGTCTTGAAGGAAAATTCTTCTGTCCTGGTCCATGTCAGCACTGTATAAACATATGTCATAGATCAGGTTTGGAGGAAAGTTTTTGTTTTCCTTTTTTTTTTTATTTCAATGAATAGTTGCAGTAAAACTTTTTTAACAGTTCAGCTGTTCAACCTGTTTATTTCCTAACTAACCCTTGCAGTTTTACTAACCCTTATTTTTTGTGACATCATAATGATTTCCACAGCAACTAGTTGTGAGGTTGAAAACAAAGGTTAGTTTAAACAAAGGTTATGATTGCAGGTGCAGAGTGAACAGACAAACTCTTAAGAAACAGGTTTCAGGTAAATGACTCTATTAATAAAGAATGAGAAGGTTGGGTAAAAATCCCCAAATGGATGATGCGCAATACCAACAGAGGTGATTCAAGCTGAACAGTTGTTAGGATTTGCTATGAGGCTGTAGTCTTGTTTGAAGGCCATAAGAATACATGAATCTGCAAGAAATTATTCTCTGCTGGAAATGCTGAAGTTGCTATTTAAAGCTGCAGTGTTTGTCAGAATGAAGTTACCTCCTGACTTTTGTGTTGTTTCAAAACAACACTACTATTGAACAACAATACTATTGAATCCTCAGGAACTTCGTTGTGAGTGTGATCCATGTGTGGGCGACAACCATGATGAGTTTCTTGCATAAGCTTCCTCAGATTATCAGCAGCAAGCATTTCTGATGAACTTCATCACATTCACTGTTGGAATGAAGGGACACGGCAGAGAAATTCTAGCAGCAGTAATCTTGCCTTTGTTACCAGAAGTTCCCGCACCTTTTTGATGATGTTTCCTACCTCCAACTTCACTTTTGGGTTTACAGCTCACTTCTGCTGCTTAGTGGGGCTCATAACCCCATTTGAAGGAGTCATGACAGTCCTCAGCGTTCAGGAATGTCTGCCTTATGTCCCCACCAAGCAGAGAGATTTTTAATTCCTCCTCTGTACATTGGAATTGTTAGTTTAAACAAGAAACGAGATGCTTGACTGAGTCCATAACAACCAAGTAGTTCCTGTGGCCATCCTTTTGTGTTCGTATCCCTGTAGTCCTTGTTCTTCCTTGGACAGCTTTCTGGGAAAGCTTATATATCACAGCAGCTTTAGGAGCTTTGTTTCTTACACTTCTTCCTGGCTCCTGACAGAGATGGAAGCCTGTCCATGTCCATGCTTTGGCCTTGGTTCAAGACTCTCTGCAGAGTTCATGGCCCCAGCTCACTTCAGATGGGTACCTGTCACCCTTCAACCACTTCATCTCCCTGTGGTGATCTCCCCCTACCCCGTGCCTGGGCATGTTTATCAAAAAGCACCTGGAAAGGTTTGTGAAGATTTCATTAAACGGGCAGCAGATGCTTTCCTCTCTCCATGCTTTTCTTCAGCTTCTTCCCATATCAGACCTTGAGACAGGACTCATGTTTATTGGCGTGGCATTTAATAAAGTTACATTAGGTCTTGCTTTATTTAATTCTGTTTGTGTTCCTCAGGCATCGTTGTCATACTTGTTTCCCTCTTCTGATAACAACAGGAGGGCTTTCTGTGTGGGCCGCTTGTTCTAAAACTCTAAATACTTTCCAAATTTCCTTTCCCTTGTAATTTCCCAAAGGTGCTATTTCTTAGTTCCTCTGGCATACTTCCCCTAGGATTTGTCTTTTTTTCCCCCTAACATTTCAGAGTTTGGACAGGGACTCTTTGCTTCCTGGAGTTTTAATAATTATATCCTCTGTGCCCAGCCATGGCCTGTTACTGGAGTCATGTGCACTAGGTTTCTTACAGGAATTTTCTGTTTGCTGCTCCCAAGACAGCAGAGTCTTGTCATAACTAGCATTAGAGTAAGAACTACAAATGCATTGGGCTTTTCCTGAGCAGCAGGACAGTTTGGGAGGGGCTGCTGACTCTTGATTTATCCACCCTGAGGAAATGACCTGTATAAGTTTGCTCTCTTTGATGAGAAGAGATAGAACAGTCCTTCTGGGGAGTGCGGTGTATTATGCATATCATTTTAATCATATTTCTGTGTAGCCTTTACAACTGTTTGTCAAGATGATACCTTTTCCCTTTTGAAAATTAAGACATTTTTGGTAACTTTGCAGTACAGTTTCTTCAGGTGCTTGAAAATTAAGTTTGTATAGAAGTAAACACAAGGCAGAAGTAGCTTTTAGGGATGTTGCAGTGATGCTGACATCTTTTCAGGGACATGGACTGTTTTAGGTTTGTGTGAGTGATATTCAGGTAACTAGGATAGATTGAGGTGATTAATCACTTTTCCTTAATGACTAATGAGTCAAGATGAGAGGTGATCCGCCATCCCTTGAGCTGCCTCTGTGGTCCGAATATAAAGCCATGCCATGAAGAAATGAGAAGACTAGTTGTAAGGTTCTTGTTTTGTTCTTCTTTCCCCTGTCGCCTATCATGTTTTCCCTTTTGTCTCCTGGGCCCCGTCTTCCAGCCTGCTGCAGGTTGCTGTAAACCTCTCTTTCCAATCCTCTTTCAGCTAAGTAAACCTGATATATGGGAATAGTACTCCTAGAAATATTTACTCTGGTAGACACTGCATTCCCTTGGCTGTGTAGATAAAATAGAAAATCCTTTAGCTTTGTGAGGAAATGTGCAGACACCAACAGATGGTATCCGCTGAGGCTTTTGCATGCCAGAAAGGACAAAGAGGATAATAAGAAGACCTGTTGTATTTATCAGGTACCTAGAAAATCTGTGATTGTCAATGGATAAATGCAAACACACTCACATTCCTGGTCCTGAAGCACTCTGAAATCCTGCTGCAGGATTCAGTTGTCGTGAAGTCACTCACCTTTATACGCACTAAGCCGTGATGTTGGTAGTTATTTTAGTCTCAGTTTCACAGTAACTGTACCTGGAATGATTACACCAGCAACAATGTGAAACATCTTAATGCAAATGGCAGAGATGAGTGGCAGTAGGCTGGAATCTTTCAAACTCCCACCTCCACTGCAGCCGTGCTGCACATCGGGGCTTCCCACAGCTGGGAGTACTTAACTCACAGCCTCCAAGTAAGTAGCTTCTATTTAATTTTGAGCACCAGAACATCTCTGCTAAGAAAGAAACTGAATTTCCTGAAGCTTGTGGAGCTAGGATTGGAGACAAACAAGTTTGTAGGAGGTTTAAACATTAAAAAAACCTGAGATTAGTCTCATGTTCTGGGCTTGATTTTTTTTTTTTTAGCCTCTTCTTAGCTGCTTCTCTTTCTTAAATGAGTATTGTATTCCATTAGCCTCGGTGAAGAGAACTCCCAGAGACTAATGGGATTCTTATGGCATTTTAGTCTTCATTCAGCTAAATACTCTTCAGATGTTACATATGTAAAACAACCATGGCTGATGAACGCATTATAGTATATTTATATAACGTACAAAAATACTTAAGGGCCTGCAGTCTTTTTGTAACAGCTGAATAATGCCTTTGTTTCTTTGAAGAAGTCAGGAGGCTGTGAGTGGCTGTGGTGAGGAGTCATGTAAGGATCAGTCACATCTGATTTGGTCAGAATGAAATATTGAATGAGAAGTCAAAAAGAGATACCCTTTGTGTGAATTGGATGCCATATGAGAAAGAACAGATCAACCTGTATGAGGCTTGTGAGGTCCTTTGAAGTGCCTGTATTGGAGCAATTTTTCTACATACGTATGCACTCAGACAGACATGCATATTTTCAAATCAAAGAAGTTCCAAGGCAAATACCTTTTAATATAGAGAATAGAAAACATTAATATAACAGAAATAGAAAATATTAAATTGTGCATAAAATTAAATTTTATTAAATCATATACAAATATAAAATACTAAATAATATAGAAAATAATATTGCAGTTAAAAATTTCCAATTCTAATGTTTTTAAGCCTGAGAGACTGAAAATTGAGGTTACACTTGGAAAAAAGTCCCCAACAAACAACTCAAACCCCCACCATATGCTGTTTCTCAAAGCTGGAAAAATATGCAAACACTTTGTTAAGATCAGTCAACTTTGTCTCCTCCTCATGTCCCTTTCCTCACAACCACAATTCGTTCCTCACAACACAGACCTTTCCTGTAGAGACACTGCAGTAGTGACCCCTAATAGTAAAAGCATTTTTTTTTTAAATAAGTTACTTTTCATTATAGCTGTGGCAGACATTAGTGGGGACAAAATGTTAACCTCCCCAGTGAAATAATTTGGGTTTTTTTCTGTGTTTAGTTGTCATTTTTTCTTTTTCTCTTCTTTAACTGAGATTTTTACTTTATCCTTAGATAGCTTGTCTTTGAATCCAGAATGTGTACCAGGATATCATTTAAAGAGAGATGGCCAACCTTCTGACTTCATTTCATCTGATGGATTATGTTTTGTCTGGAGTCACTGTGGTAGCTCTTGTTGATGCCTGACTGTGTGGGGAGCGTGCTCAGGCCTGGAGACTGAGTTGTCCGTGGGTCAAGTTCAACTTGCAGGTTGTGAGGAAGGCATCATTGTTTTGTACCCAGTGATAGCAAAGTTATTTAATTTCATGTTTCTTGGCAAAAAAAGGAGTCCGTCTTGCTTCTGAAGTCCTACATAATACCCAGCAGCATTGATCAATAATTACTTCTGCATTCTTAGACACCAAAATGTTGTCTTTCTAAATAGAAAATGATGTGATACAAATCCTGAAATTATGGAATAAATAATATGGAGTGCTATGTGCAAAATATAAAAAATGTATCGAATGCACCAAGAGCCGTGTTTAATGATCTGGCAAACAATCTCACTCTCTGTGTATGCAGCTCGGACTGCATTTAATATGGCATGCCCTACATGTGGCATTCAGCTCCCTGTGACTTTTCCATTTAGTTCACTGATGTGCACTGGTTTTCTTGAAGTGCTTGGGAAAAAGAAGTTGAGCAGCAACTAATCTCCTTCAGGAAAATAATGATAATGTAGCACTTTACAAAATAAATATGAAAAGTAAATGTTTGGCAGGGTTAGTAAAAAGAGTTAAGGTTAGGTATATAATCAGAATTGAACAATCCTGTCTTTCACTTATTTGCATGCTTATAGTGCTAATTGCTGCCTCAGGTTTTATTTTAAAAGTTGCAAGTTGATATGCTGTTTTAAAAGGCATGAACTTATCTTACCGAGTGAATGAGCAATGATACAAGAATATTTGTTAAAGAGTCATTTCCTAGTACCACAAACTGAGGAAGTAATTTGAAATGAGTAACTAGTCGATTTAATAAGTCAGCTAATGTACTCTTGAAAGGAATGGAAATAATTTAATATCAAACTAAAATATTTGATAAAGAACCCTTGTACCTTCATC